GGAAGGTGGAGGTTGCAGTGAGCCGAGATTTCGCCACTGTACTCCAGCCTGGCAACAGAGTGAGACTCTGTCTAAAAAAAAAAAAAAAAAAAAGGCCGGGCGCGGTGGCTCAAGCCTGTAATCCCAGCACTTTGGGAGGCCGAGACGGGCGAATCACGAGGTCAGGAGATCGAGACCATCCTGGCTAACACGGTGAAACCCCGTCTCTACTAAAAAATACAAAAACTAGCCGGGCGAGGTGGCAGGCGCCTGTAGTCCCAGCTACTCGGGAGGCTGAGGCAGGAGAATGGCATAAACCCGGGAGGCGGAGCTTGCAGTGAGCTGAGATCTGGCCACTGTACTCCAGCCTGGACGACAGAGCCAGACTCCGTCTCAAAAAAAAAAAAAAAAAAAAGACGTGTTTGCAATTATTTTTATCTTAGAATATGTACCTATAAGGATATACTATATTTCAATATTAAAATAATCATATAAAGTAAATACTTTCTCTGTGTAGTGATACTACCTGATATAGAATTAGGTTCATTTGTTCAAATTTGTTTTCAATTTTGGGATTTCAAAAAAATGTTTAAGTTAGGTTTTAATTTGACCAGGCTCAGCAGCTCATACCTGTAATCCCAGCACTTTGGGAGACCAAGACAGGAGGATTGTTTGAAGTCAGGAATTCAAGACTAGCCTGGACAACGTAACAAGACCCTATCTCTACAAAAAATAATTTTAAAAAAGTAGCCGACCATTGTGACATGCATCTGTAGTCTTAGCTACTAAGGAGGCTGAGGCAGGAGGATCACTTGAGCCCAGGAGTTTGAGATTACAGTGAACTGTAATTATGCCACTGCACTCTAACTTGGGCAACAGAGTCAGACCCTGTCTTTAAAAAAATAATAATATATTGACCAGGCACGGCGGCTCACGCCTGTAATCCCAGCACTTTGGGAGTCCGAGGCAGGCGGATCACAGGGTCAGGAGATGGAGACCATCCTAGCCAACATGGTGAAACTCCGTTTCTACTAAAATATAAAAAATTAGCCGGGCATGGTGGTGCGTGACTGTAGTCCCAGCTACTCTGGAGGCTGAGGCAGGAGAATTGCTTGAACCTGGGAGGCAGAGATTGCAGTGAGCCGAGATCACACCACTGCACTCCAGCCTGGCGACAGAGCAAGACTCCATCTCAAAATAATAATAATAATAATAATAATAATAATAATAATAATTTTAAATAATGGGCAGAACATTTACATGTTTCAAAAGCCAAAACGATATAAAAGGGTATACTCAGAAGTCTCTCTTCTATTCCTGTCTTCTCACCTCCCTCCCCACCCCCTGAGTTAACTATTTTGATCAGTTTCTAGTTTATTATTCTAGCATTACTGTTTGAAAATATATGCACGTATAAATACGTACATATATGTGTCTATGTGTATGTATTCTTATTTCTCCTCTTTTCTCACACAAAATATAGCATACTATAAACACTGTTTGACTGGGTGCGGTGGCTCACGCCTGTAATCTTAGCACTTTGGGAGGTCGAGGCGGGCGGATCACCTGAGGTCAGGAGTTTGAGACCAGTCTGGCCAACATGGTGAAACCCCATCTCTACTAAAAATACAAAAAAATTAGCCAGGCGTGGTAGCACATGCCTGTAATCCCAGCTACTTCGGAGGCTGAGGCAGGAGAATAGCATGAACCCGGGAGGCGGAGCTTGCAGTGAGCCGAGATGGCGCCACTGCACTCCAGCCTGGGCGACAGAGCGAGATTCTGTCTTTTTTTTTCTTTTTTTTTTTTTTGATACGGAGTCTTGCTCTGTCCCCCAGGCTGGAGTGCAGTGGCCGGATCTCAGCTCACTGCAAGCTCCTTCTCTCGGGTTCACGCCATTCTCCTGCCTCAGCCTCCCGAGTAGCTCGGACTACAGGCACCCGCCACTTCGCCCGGCTAGTTTTTTGTATTTTTTAGTAGAGACGGGGTTTCACCGTGTTAGCCAGGATGGTCTCGATCTCCTGACCTCATGATCCGCCCGTCTCGGCCTCCCAAAGTGCTGGGATTACAGGCTTGAGCCACCGCGCCCGGCCGAGATTCTGTCTTAAAAAAAAAAAGAAAAAAAATTAGCCGGCCCTGCTGACACATTTCTGTAATCCCAGCCACTCAGGAGGCTGTGGAAGGAGAATCACTTGAACCCGGGAGGTAGAGGTTGCAGTGAGCCAAGATCGTGCCACTATACTCCAGCCTGTGCTACGGAAGCGAGACTCCATCTCAATAAATAAGTAAATAAATAAATAAATAAGGTTGTTGTTGTTTTTGAGATGGAGTCTCGCTCTGTGCCCAGGCTGGAGTGCAGCAGTGTGATCTTGGCTCACTGAAACCTCCACGTCCAGGGTGCAAGAGATTCTCCTGCTTCAGCCTCCCGAGTAGCCAGGATTAAAGGAGCATGCCACCTCACCCAGCTAATTTTTGTATTTTTAGTAGAGATGAGGTTTCACCATGTTGGCCAGGCTGGTCTCGAACTCCTGACCTCAAGAGATCTGCCCGCCTTGGCCTCCCAAAGTGCTAGGATTACAGGTATGAGCCACCGTGCCTGGTCAACACTGCTTTGCATCTTGCTTTTTAGACATAATGATACATTTTGGAAATTAATTGGTATTATTATACAGCTACTGTAGTGGGTTAAATTTTTTCCCCCAAAAGATGTGTTCATCCAGAACCTGAGGATACGACCTTATTTGGAATAAGGGTCTTTGCAGATGCAATTAAGGTAAGAATCTTAAGCTGGGCACTGTGGCTTACACCTGTAATCCCAACACTTTGGGAGGCCAAGGCAGGCAGATCACCTGAGGTCAGGAGTTTGAGACCAGCCTGGCTAACATGGTGAAATGCCATCTCTACTAAAAATACAAAAAATTAGCCAGGTGTGGTGGTGGGTGCCTATAATCCCAGTTACTTGGAACGCTGAGGCAGGAGAATCTCTTGAACCCGGGAGGTGGAGGTTGCAGTGAGCCGAGATCGCACCACTGAAGTCCAGCCTGGGCAACAGAGCCAGACCCTGCCTCAAAAATTAAAAAAAAAAAAAAAAAGACAAGACCATTTTGGATTAATGTGAGCCCTAAATCCAATTAGGAGTGTACTTATAAAAGAGAGGGAGTTTTGGCTGGGCGAGGTGGCTCATGCCTGTAATTCCAGCACTTTTGGAGGCCGAAGTGGGTGGATCACAAGGTCAGGAGTTCGAGACTAGCCTGAGCAACATGGTGAAACCCCTGTCTCTACTAAAATACAAAAATTAGCCATGGGTGGTGGCACGCGCCTGTAATCCCAGCTACTTAGGATGCTGAGGTGGGAGAATCGCTTGAACCCCGAAGGCAGAGATTGCAGTGAGCCAAGATCGTGCCTCTGTACTCCAACCTGGCTGATAGAGCAAGACTCCACCTTAAAAAAAAAAAAAAGAGGGAGTTTTGAGACAGAGGGGAAGGCCATGTGAAGATGGAGGTAGAGATTAGAGTGATGCAGAAGCAAGGAGAGAAGCATGGAACATATTCTCCTTCAGAGCCTCCAGAAGGAATCAACCCTGCTGATAACTTGATTTTGGTCTTCTGGCCTCCAGAACTGTGAGATAATAAAACTCCGTTGTCTTAAGCCACCAAATTTATAGCAATTTGTTACAGCAGTCACAATAAACTAATACAGAGACCTTCCTCATGCTTTTTTTTTTTTTTTTTAAATGACTGAATAGTATCCTTCTGTGCCTGTACAATGGTTTATTCAATCAGTTTTCTATTGATGGACACATGAATTGCTCCCAAACTTTTGTTTGTACAGATAATGCCCAGGTATAATTTACATTTATTTCCGAGAAGTGGGATTGCTGGGTCAAAAACGGTAAATGCATTTGCCTTTTTGCTAAATATGATCAAATTCCTCTCCATAGGGCCTGTAATATTTTGCACTCCAACCAGAAATGAATGAGAACGCCTACTTCTCCACAGGCTCACCAACAGAGTACATTTTCAAACTTGAATTTTTGCCAGTCTGATCAACAAGACATGATATTTCAGTGTACCGATCCGTTGCATTTCCCTTATTATGAGTGAAGTTGAACATTTTTTCATGTTTGAGACTCCTTGCTTTTCTTTTTCTGTGAACCCTCTGATCATGTCTTTCACTGATTTTTCTATTTGTTTTTTTCTTCTCAATTGTTAAGAACTTTTGCAACATAATTATAATTTGCAAATTTTTTGTTTCTTGTATTTCTTTTTTTTTTTTTTTTTTTGAGACCGAGTCTCACTCTGTCGCCCAGGCTGGAGTGCAGTGGCCGGATCTCGGCTCACTGCAAGCTCTGCCTCCCGGGTTTACGCCATTCTCCTGCCTCAGCCTCCCGAGTAGCTGGGACTACAGGCACCCGCCACCTTGCCTGGCTAGTTTTTTGTATTTTTTTTAGTAGAGACGGGGTTTCACCATGTTAGCCAGGATGGTCTCGATCTCCTGACCTCGTGATCCGCCCGCCTGGGCCTCCCAAAGTGCTGGGATTACAGGCTTGAGCCACCGCGCCCGGCCTGTTTCTTGTATTTCTTTTGTCCACGTCTATGGTTTTTTACCATGCCCCCCCCAACTTTTTTTTTTCAATTATTATTATTTTTTGTTTGTTTTGAGACGCCCTGGCTAATTTTTCTACTTTTAGTAGAGATGGGGTTTCACCATGTTGGCCAGGCTGGTCTCAAACTCCTGACCTCAGGTGATCTGCTCTCCTTGGCCTCCCAAAGTGCTGGGATTACAGCTGTGAGCCACCGCACCTGGCCTTTTTTCAGTTTTTAACACGAAAGGACTGTTGATGCTTCGCAGCCTAAGGAGCCTTTCTGTCCTTTATCCTTCTGAGTCTATGCTGAGCTATATTCTACTCTGAATCATTGCTCACCGATATCTGACTCCTTCTCTCTATCAGCCTTTCTCAATTAGAATCAGAGATTTTAGCTACACTATAGCTCCTGTCACTCCTTTTTCTTTTTATATCTCAGATTGATTTCCTCAGAAAGCAAAGCCTGAGGCAGAGGACATATATGCCGTTTCCCATTGGGGGAGCAAAGCAGAGAAGGACGGAGAGCCAATGAAATGGTGTGTTATCAAGCTGGCCATCTTTATGTGCAATATGATTGCTCAATCTGTGGGACTGTGCCCCAGAGAAGCCCCATTTCGTCAGTCTCAGGACTTCTCTAGCTGGTGGAAGCAGGAGGAAGCTGGGGCAGGAGACAGGGACACCAAAGAGGAATGAATTGATTCATTGTCTCCTGTCACTCTTGGGTGGAAGGTTTGCCCCACAGATATTTGCCGATTGACCAGTCATCAAATCTAAACTTTTTCTTTTTTTTTTTTTTGAGACAGGGTGTCACTGTCGCCCAGACGTGAGTGCAGTGGTGCGATAATGAAACCACCCTTGCAAAATTATGACTGAGACAGTGAATGAGATCTAACTTTTCTGTTTTTTTTTTTTTAAGACAGAGTCTTGCTGTCACCCAGGCTGGAGTGCAGAGGCCATCTCGGCTCACTGCAATCTCTGCCTCCTGGGTTCAAGCAATTCTCCTACCTCAGCCTCCTGAGTAGCTGGGATTATAGGCATGTGCCACCATGCCTGGCTAATTTTGTATTTTTAGTAGAGACAGGGTTTCACCATGTTGGCCAGGCTAGTCTCGAACTCCTGACCTCAGGTGATCCACCCACCTCGGCCTCCCAAAGTGCTGGGATTACAGGTGCGAACCACCACTCCTGGCCCCTCACAGGCTTCTCTAACCACAGGCTTATACAAGGGATGCATCACTTGTTTCCTTACTCTTTACTCATATTGAGAAAAGTCCTGGATTTTCAAGTCGGACAATAAAAATACAGCCGGGAAGCCTGGTGAAAGAGAGTGGTCTGAGGCTCTTTTTTTGAATAAACTGACCCTAACCCTATCAGAAAACTATCATTCAATGAGTTGACCTTATTAAGAGTTTCGACTTGGCCGGGCGCAGTGGCTCACACCTGGAATCCCAGCACTTTGGGAGGCCAAGGCAGGAGGATGGCTTGAGCCCAGGAGTTCAAGACTAGTCTAGGTAACATAGCAAGACCCTGTCTCTACAAAAATTAGCCAGACATGGTGGAGCATGCCTGTATTCCCAGCTACTAGGAAGGCTGAGGCAAGAGGATCATTTGAGCCCATGAGGTCGAGGCAGCAGTGAACCGTTATTGTAACTGCCCAGTGGGTTCACCTTGCCCACTGCCTAGACAAAGCCGATTCATCAAGACAGAAGAATTGCAATAAAGAGTAATTCACGCAGAGCCGGCTGTGCAGGAGACCAGAGTTTTATTATTACTCAAATGACTCAAATCAAATCGGGAAGCAGAGTTTTTAAGGACAACTTGGTGGGTGAGGGGAAGCCAGTAAGCTGGGAGTGCTGATTGGCCAGGGATGAAATCATAGGGAGTCGGAGCTGTGTTCTTGCGCTGAGTCAGTTCCTGGTTGGGGGTCACAAGATCAGATGAGCCAGGGTTTCGATCTGGGTAGTGCCGACTGATCCATCAAAGGCAGGGTCTGCAAAATATCTCAAGTACTGGTCTTAGGGGCAGCTTAGGGGGAGTCAGAACCTTGTAGCCTCCTGCTGCATGACTCCTAAACCATAATTTCTAATCTTCTGGCTAATGTTAGTCCTACAGAGGCAATCCAGTCCCCAAGCAAGAAGGAGGTCTGCTTTGGGAAAGGGCTGTTATCATCTTTTTTTTAAACTATAAGCTATAGCTTAAAGTTTCTCCCAAAGTTAGTTCAGCCTAGGCTCAGGAATGAACAAGGACAGCTTGGAGGCTAGAAGCAAGATGGAGTAGGTTAAGTTCGATCTCATTCGGCGGGGCACGGCTTACTCCAGTAATCCCAGCACTTCGGGAGGCTGAGGTAGGTGTGTCACCTGAGGTCAGGAGTTTGAGACCAGCCTGGCCAACATGGTGTGAGAGGAGCCGGGCACATTCCTCAGCCCCGGGCTCAAAACAAACAAGCCCAATACAAACACATCCCATCCTCCCATCCCACCACATATCGCCATATATCTCTCAAACTTCCTGAGCCCAGTACAAACACCACCTGGAAAAGTCTCCGATAAGGAGGCAGCCGTTCAAAGTTTTACTGAAAGCGCGGGAACCAAAAGAATTCCTTTGTTCCCCTGTAACTTTCGGGCTATAAAAAGCAAACACTCGCATTGTTCAGGGCCCTCTTGTATGCTGTGTAATGGAGGGACCAAGTTCGAACTTGTCATAAAGATCCTTGCCGCTTGGCTTTGACTCTGGACTCTGGTGGTCTTCTTTGGGGAATAGAGGGTCTGGGCATAACAGGTGAAACCCTGTCTCTACTAAAAATACAAAAAATTAGCCAGTCGTAGTGGTGTGCACCTGTAGTCCCAGCTACTCGGGAGGCTGAGGCAGGAGAATCGCTTGAACCCAGGAGACAGAGATTGCAGTGAGCCGAGATCACATCACTGCACTCCAGCCTGGGCGACAGAGCAAGACTCTGTCTCAAAAAAAAAAAAAAAAAAAAAAAAGAGAGAGAAGTCTGGGAAGGGAACACTCAACACCTTGCCTTGCCTTGGGGGAAGGGGACAGAAGGGGTGGTGGTGGAGCATCAGCAAAGGCTCCCTGCAGAGCAGTGACTTATCACTAGGCTTGCCTTGGGTATGGAAATTTCCACCATTAGGCTTTGTCCTTCGGGAAAAGCAGTGTTTAACTGAAATCCCCATTCGGTAATTCATGATGTCATTAAAACTTTGTGGTGGATTATTTATAAATCTTCGGAGAAGGCCTCGGGGGGATGTAGGAGATGCTTCTCGATGATGTGAGATCATTCTAAGACACTAGAGAGATGGCAGGGATGGATGAGGCAGTGCCAGGGTTTCCTGGGGAGCAACCTCATCAACCCCCAACCTCTGGGGCCTCACAAAGGCTCTGAAGAGAGTGACACTGACAGAGGAAGACGGCAATGGAGAAGGAGGACAGGCAAATGTGTTCTGGTCACCGTGGTGGTCATACCTGCCTGTCCTTCCCAGAGGTGACACCAACATTATACCCTTGAGTAGCCCAGTGCAGTAGTATCACTGTGGAGGTGGTAAGAACATACACTGAAATTATACCAAGAGTTTTATGCAGGGTTTAAGGTGTTAAAACAGTTGGGGGCGGGGGGACGAAGGGGCAGCAGAGGCAATAACTAGCAAAAATGCAAATGTGTTTACAATTTGGCCCAGAAGTTCCACTACAAATCAATTGTGAATTATTGGAAGGGTATAGTGACTCACGCCTGGAATTCCAGCACTTTGGGAAGCAGAGGCGGGGCGGGAGGTGGGGGGCGCGGTTTGTGAGGGGTGGTTATTGCCTGAGGCTAGGAGTTCAAGACCAGCCTGGGCAATATAGTGAGACCCTAATCTCTACCAAAATAAACAAAAGGGAAATGCAAATTACACCTGAACAGATTTGAAGTAATATATGTACAAGGTTATTTATTGAGCTTTTTTTTTTGAGATAGGGTTTTGCTCTGTCACTCAGGTTGGAGTGCAGTGGCACCATGTTGGCTCACTGCAACCTCTGCCTCCCTGGTTCAAGCAATTCTTCTGCCTTAGCCTCCCAAGTAGCTGGGAGTACAGGCACCTGCCACCACGCCCGGCTGCTTTTTTTTTTTTTTTTGTATTTTTGTATTTTTGTATTTTCAGTAAAGATGGGGTTTCACCGTGTTGGCCAGGCTGGTCTTGAACTTTTGACCTCATTGAACTTCTGACCTAAGGTGATCTGCCCGCCTCGGCCTCCCAAAGTGCTGGGATTACAGGCGTGAGCTACTGCGTCCGGCCAATGAGCATTATTCGTACAAACAGAAGTTTGGGAGCAATCTACATGTCAGTAGGGAACTATTGAATAAACCATCCTACAGCCACACAAGGAATACTAATCCGCCATAGCTATCCCAAAACATAGATCCGTGTATTCTTGAACAAACTCCTTTGGAAACGTTTAATTCCTCTAAATTAGATCAACAAGGAGGCATCACGTTCAGAGCCTTAGAAGTTTTAACCTTTTTAGCACATAAATGACTGAAAAACTGCACAAATGAGACTCCCTCTTGCCCTAACCTCTGCTTCCACTCTTCTGTGTTTTGATGAGGAGAAACCTTAGCCTGAGCATTTCAAAGGCTTAAGATAAAGACTTACTAAGGAAGATTTATTTTATTTTATTTTATTTTTAGAGGCAGGGTCTCCCTCTGTTTTCCAACCTCAATATCCTGGGCTCAAGTGTTCCTCCTGTCTCAGCCTCCCAAGTAGTTGAGACTATAGGTGCACACCACCACGCCTAGCTAATTTTTTTTTTTTTTTCTGAGACCAGGTTTCACTATGTTGCTCAGGCTCCTGGTCTCAAGGGATCCTCCTGCCTCGACCTCTCAAAGTGCTGGGATTACAGGTGTGAGCCACCATGCTTGGCCTGAAAGATATTTCTCAGCAGTGACTCTTAACTCCATGATATTGCAACCTGCTACATCGAGGGAGGAAAGTCATAGATTAAAATATGATACTTAGAAACCCAGGACCATAAGAATTGAAAACTTGCAAAAATTGAGAAAATAAGAGCTCATCATCTTAAGAATTTAAGTAATTTGAGTATACATCCCAGAATGCCAGCTCTTTCAAGATTTCAGAGTATAATATGTGTATTCTCAAGAAGACCTTGAGATGTTTTCAAAACAGCAGATGCATAAATTCCTTTTAAAGGGTAAAGAATAAATGTTTTGAAAGGGGAAATCATCATAAAAATCTAGTTTGAAAAGTCCTCAAAAAAAGTGGGTCTCTATTTTCTAAAAAATAACTTGTGCATTGTAAGAAATATATATTATTTTATATTTAAATGGAGGCTTTACTTTGGGAAAGTTATTATACACTTAAAAAATTTATAAGTAGTGTTGAAGATAAAACCAGTTATCAAATCAAAGGACAATAAACACTTCTCCATGTTAAGACTTAATTCTAGGCTGGGCACAGAGGCTCTCGCTTGTAATCCCAGCACTTCAGGAGACGGAGGCAGGAGACCCTCTTGAGTCCAGGGGTTCAAGACCAGCCTGGGTTACAGAGGGAGACATTTGTCTCTACAAAAAATACAAACATTAGCTGGGCGTGATGGTGCACACTTTTAGTTCCAGCTACCCGGGAGGCTGATGTGGGAGGATTGCTGGAGTCCAGGAATTTGAGGCTGCCTGGGCAATAGAGGGAGACCCTGACTCTTTAAAACACACACACACACACACACACACACACACACACACAAAACCTCAAAAAAACAACTTTTTTTCACTGCATGGAAAGGAAATAATCTTATTTTGGGGTC